TCAGACCAGTGAGAGTCCATCTAGTCCAGCATCCCATCTCACACAGAGGCCAACCAGCTCCTGTGGAGGGTGAACAACAGGCCCTTCCCCTGATGTTGCCTCTTGGCTCTGGGATTCAGAGGTTTAGCCTCTGAGTGTGGAGATTCCCCTCAGTCACCATGGCTAGTAGCCATTAATAGACTTATCCTCCATATATCTAATCCCCTTTCTCGATCATTTTAGATTGGTGTTGTCGTGTCAAATAAGATATTCATTACCAGCATTCACTAATCTTATCAAAATCCTTTTAACATTCTTCAAACCGTCATATGGAATTCATATCTTTAAAGGAAATACAGGTCCTGGTCACACGGAGGATTAAGAACGCGAGAGGGACGGATGGAAGGCAGATCAAATGGGCACGATCCAACGCCAACATCTGGCAAGTGTCGCGCGGCTGCCTCCAATCCGTCGCATCCCGCCAAAACTGCGGATTTAAAAGGTACTAGGGGAAAAGTAGTACCTACCGGAAGATCCGCAGCAAGGCTGGGCGTGGGATCGCGGACGCGCCGGCAGCCCGTGTTATTTGAGGGACCGCCAGACTGCGCACGCGCGACTGCCGGACTGCTCATGCACACGAATACTCCAGCAGCCTCGGCTCGCCCGTCTTTGCCTTGCTTCCCCCGGCCACGTGATCGCGCTGGACAGAATATGCGCGGCGGCTCGGGAGACGCGTCTGATCCTGATGCTGCACTTTCCTTTGGTGTGGCTCTAAGAAGCCACACTTTGGGCGCGGCTTTTCCCGCCGGTGTGACCGGGACCACACAGGCCATTTAAACACAAACCCGAATAACAACCTCAACATTTCTTATTGAGGTGGGTAGCCATGTTAGTCTGAAGCAGCAGAACAAAGTTTGAGTCCCCAGGGGCACATTTAATAAAACTTTCTTGGTCTTAAAGGTGCCACTGGACTGAAACATTTTTATGCCAACTGTCCACCTGATCGGGGTACACAAAATGGCAAACATAATAACCTCAACATTTCTTATTGAGGTGGGTAGCCATGTTAGTCTGAAGCAGCAGAACAAAGTTTGAGTCCCCAGGGGCACATCTAATAAAACTTTGTTGGTCTTAAAGGTGCCACTGGACTGAAACATTTTTATGCCATCTGTCCACCTGATCGGGGTACACAAAATGGCAAACATAATACGCACTAAGAACATAAGAGAAGCCAATGTTGGATCAGGCCAGTGGCCCCTCCAGTCCAGCACTCTGGGTCACACAGTGGCCATAAAGACCAGGTGCCCTCAGGAGGTCCAGCAGTGGGGCCAGGAGGACACTAGAAGCCCTCCCACTGTTGTCCCCCCCAAGCACCAAGAAGACAGAGCCTCACTTGCCCCCCAGACCAAGAGCCCCTATCTATCCCTTGTGGCTAATAGACACTGATGGACCTCTGCTCCATATGCTTATCTAATTCCCTCTTGAAGCCGTCCATGCCTGTAGCTGCCACTGTCTCCTGTGGCAGTGAATTCCATGTGTTAATCATTCTTTGGGTGAAGAAGTACTTCCTTTCATCCATTCTAACCCGACCGCTCAGCAATTTCATGGAGTGCCCACAAGTTCTTGTATTGTGAGAAAGGGAGAAAAGTACTTCTTTCTCTACCTGCTCTATTCCATGCATAATCTTATAAACCTCGATCATGTCACCCCTCGGCCGTCGTTTCTCCAAGCTAAAGAGCCCTAAGCGCTTTCCACTTTTCTTCATAGGGAAAG